TCAATGACTTTTCTAAAGTTTGAACAGATTATTAAGGGAATATGGAATTACCTCTACTAATTTAATTAATTTATGTATAATTTTAATGATATAAATAAATAAAATGTTTTATATATATACTTTTTTATTAAAAATTTAAATCTTTCTTAGTTATCATTTTTTAATTAGATATATTTTAATTATAATGTTATCAATAATATTCAATAATCATAAACAATTGTTATTAAATTAACAAAAATAAGAGATTATAAAATAACAAATTTAAAATTATATAATTATTATAAACTAGAAAAATTAAACACTGATAGTATAAAATTTCCATTAAAAATTATCAAATAAGATTTACTATACTAGATGTTTTCACCAATTTCTCAATTTTGTGAAATCCAAAAAAAAAACTAATAATATATATTTTTTTATATATTCAACATAAAAAAAGAAATAAAAACATTAACAAAATCTTTTTTTTTTTATATGTCTAGTGCTTGCATGGATAACTGTATATTTTTAATGCAGCTATTAATTTTTTTTCTCAAAAAGGTTAATAATGCTTTTTATTAACTAAGTATGTACGATGATAATTATTCTTAAATATTATTTGATCATTATCCTTTAAGCACTTTATATACTATATATGTTTTATCATTGTTTTATTAATTGGGTGTTTGATGACTTTGCTAGAGTACTGAACAAACAAATAATAAAGAGAATGTAAAGTTGCCTATACGGTTTTGATGTATTTATATATATATTTTTAAATGGTTTGAACGAGCGATCCTTAATTATGTAATCTACTTCATTCGACATTCTTTAATTTCAATAGGCATTTATTTACTTTAATAAAAATAAAGATTTTTATTAAAAATTTAAATCCAAGAACAAGATAAATATGACGAATTAACAAAAGAATCAGAAATAGTAGAAATAGAAGCAGGAAAAAATCCTATGCTAGAAAAACAAAAAAGAATATGGAAACAATGGCTAAAAAAACAACGAATGTGGTTTATACTACATAGCGAGGATGAATGGTTTAACAATTTATTGGAACAATACGAAGAAGAAGAAGAAAGTATGAAAAGAATAACTAAAAAAGATACGAAAAAAGAGAAGGAAATTCATGAAAATATAGAGGAATTGAAGCAAGTAGGAGATAACGAAATAGAGAAAAATAGAAAAAAAAGGGAGAAATTGATACAAAAGGTTTTGATAGAAATACATATGACGCTATTAGAAGAATGTATGAAAGACGAATTGCAAAGAGAAAAGGAATATTTTTTTAAAAAAATGGTGGAAGAGTTGAAAATACAGGAAAATTTAGATGAGGATGTTAACATATTGGAAATAAAAAAAAAAAGTAGGAATGTTATATTAAATAATGACAAAGAGAAAATAGAAGAATGGAAAAAAAAAAAATGGTTTATAGAATTAATATTGGAAATGAAAAACAAAGAAAAGGAATACATGAAAGAAGTATATGAAGATATCATAGCAAAAAAGAATGAGGACAGAATTAGAAATCCCATGTTAGAAAGGCAAAAAATTATATGGAAAAAACACTGTGAAGATATTCATAAGAAGTGGATAGAAAAAAATAATAAAGAATGTTTTACAACAGTAATTTATTAATAAAAGAATGAAGATGACGAATAAAAAAGCAAAATTTATAGAGTATAGGAAGTAAAAATAAATGTGAAGAAACTGGAAAAATTCGTAAAACAATAGAAAAAATTTTAGAAGTGATAAATAGAATTATTGTTCTTTTTGAATATTTTTTAAGAAATAATCTCAAACATTGCTATATGCTTAGTTATTGATTTATTAATTTCTCATTCAATATTTTTGTTAGAATATTGATTTATTAATTGCTGGTGTAATCTATTTGCTTGTGATGAACAAATAAATTAAATAAAGAATGTTTAAAGATAATTATAGTTATTTTATTTAGAATAAAATAAATCATTAGATAAATCATTTATTTTTATTAACCAATATTAAATTTTAACTCTATTATTTATTTGTTTAAGCTAATTTATACAATACAAATGTAATGTTTAACATTATGTTATTTAATTTTTCATGCAAAAAAGAATAATATCCATTGCATCACCAAAAAAAAAAAAAAAAAATGATTATTTTTTTTTTTAAAATGATACTATTTTTTTCTATTAAGAAATAAAATTATTAGCATTAATTTTTTGCTAAAATTTCCCAAGTCTCCAGAATATAAAACCAATAAAAAAATAAAATATTCTTTTTTATAATTTTAAATAGATATAATAAAAAAAAAATAAATGAAATATATTTGTTTTTTTTTTTTTTTTTTTTTTTTAATGTAATAATTTTTTTATTTTCTTTTCAGTGATATTATGAATTATTAATTTGTTAAATAATGACTTTTATAATGCTTTAAATAGTTAAATTAATATAGATCATGTAAAATGATATCTACTTATTCTTTTTAATATAAAATTAACCTACGTATATAAATATATACCTATTATACAAGTAACAATTCATAATAATCTTAACAAATTTATCACTAAATTAGTGCTATTTGGAATACTTCTTAGTATTTTTTCATATAAAATATAAAAATTTTCATATTTACTCATCTAAAAAAAAATAAATAAAAATAAAACATTCTTTTTTTTTAAAAATAAAAATTCATATATAATGTTTTCTTTTTATGAGTAAATTGCTAATATAACATATATTATACAAATATAATTCTGCTACATCTATGAAGGTATCCTTTTAAACATAATCTATTTTGTATTTTATTTTTATACACGCAAAAATTAGTATAAGTGTTCTCATATATATATCTTTTTATATACTTTTTAATTATCCTGCTGATTTATTAACTGGGTGTTCGGAGACTTTGCTAGAGTACTAAACAAACCAATTAATAAAGAGCATGTAGAGATGACTCTACGATTTTCTTATACTTATGTATATTTTATATGCTTTGAACGAATGATCTTTAATCATAAACTACTTCGTTCAGCATTCTTTTGCTTCAATAAGTATTTATTTACTTTAATAAATAAATCCTTATTTTATTAAAAATTTAAATACTTATTTAACATTAACCATTAATTGATTACAATTATTAGTTTATTTATTACGAGTTATATTCAGCAATCATTTTATATTGCTATCGAATTAACAAAACACAAATACTTATTAAAAATGCAAATAAATTATATGCATATTAATTACATGAAAATTTTATCTTCATATGTATAAAATTTTCTTTCTCACAAATTCAAAATATAAATATTATGCAAATTAAACACTTTACAAAAATATCATTATCTTCTTAAAAAAAAAATCTCTCTCTCTCTGATTTTTTTCTCTTCTCTAAAAAAAAAAAAAATTAAATCTTTTTTTTTTTTATTTTTTTTTTTTATCTTTATCTTTTTCGAAAGAAACATTTCTCAAAAAAAATTCAATAATTTTTTTTTTTTTTTTTTTTTTTTTTTTTTTTTTTTAGTTAGCACAACTAACTATGTATTCTCCACATAGCTAGTCCTTTTATAGCCAAAAATGTTAATGAAGCTTTTTATTAACCACCTGCATGTAACTACATTGCTCTAAAATGAACTTATATCATTCGGTAAATTATTAAAAAGTTAAATGAAGCCTTTTATTAATCATATTTCTAGTATTGAGCAAAAAAAATTAATAAAAAACATGTAGAGAAAACTATACTTTATTTATTAAGGTTAAAATAAATTATCATACAAATTATTTAGTTTTTCTAAATGTCAAATATGAATCACAATAGTTACTGGGTTAATTTACGCAACACGCTATAAAATATAATATTAACATAATATTTTTAATTCTTACACATAAAAAATTATACTTCACACCATCAACAAAAAAAATATATGATTATCCTTAAGATTACAGCTTTTTTTTTTTTTAAATTTTTTTTTCAAGTCAGTTATTTATTAATTAACCATTCAGTGTTATTGCTAGTATCTAACAAGCAAATTAATGAAGATCATATAAGGAGAATTTTACATATTTTTATTTTTTTTAAATTAGGATATAAATTAAATCATTCATTTTTTATTAATTAATATAAAACATTAATTATGTTAGTTAATTAATATTGTTATTAATTTACATAACATCTCATGCGTACCACATTTTATATTGCATTTTTAATCTTTCTTTAAAAAAACCAAATACTCTCCATCATTGTCCTTAAAAGATAAAAAAATATTTTTTTTTAAGATGTCATATTTTTTTTAAAAAAATAATAAAAAAAAAATATATTTCCTTATGTAATTGTAAGTACACAAAAAAAATATTATAAAAATATGTTTATTTATTTTTTTTTTTTAGCGTATTTTTAGTGCAAATATATATATACATTTTTTTTTAATATACACATATATAAGTTCACACTTTCCACATATTTTATAATACTCTAAATAAAATGTTTTTACTCATTTTATTTTATTAAATATTATTTAAAACAGTTTGATAATATAATTTATAGATTGCATGCTCTTCATTAATTTGTTTGTTCAGTACTCTAGTAAAGTTACCGAACACCCAGTTAATAAATCAAATATCGACTATTAATTAAAAGTGAATTACTTATTTCTTTGTTATGAGTTATGTTCAGAAATTTAAATATATTGCTGTTGAATTAACCAACATAAACAATTAGTAAAAATTCATATAAATTATATGAATATTAATTACGCAAATATTTTATTGTCATATGTATAAAATATTCTCTCACAAATTCAAAATATAAATATTATGCAAATTAATCTCTTTTATGAAAGCATTATTATCTTTTTAAAATCTCATTCTTATTGGTAATA